TAATGCATAGGTTATAATTTTGAATAACTGTAAAGAAAGAAAGGGACATGATTCTGTGTATTATAGAATAGTATACACATAGCATTTTGAGTATTGCAAAATCATACATGGATGTAGCTCTGAGTACTGCAAAATCATATATGGATATGTCGCTGGTTATTTCAATATAATTTATGGATATGTTGTTGATTATTGCATAATAATATATGCATATAATTTTGAATAATTGTAAAGAAAGAAAGGGACATGATTCTGTGTATTATAGAATAGTATACAAATAGCATTATATATAATACTATACAATAGCATCTGATGGAATCTTCTACTAACATTTTTATATTTATGTATTGCAATACTTACAATAACGGTAACATCTAATTGTAAGAATCATTTCGGGTTTTTGTTTCAAGCGGAACAGAGTGAAAACAGGGAGAGAGAAGGAGTGTCGCTCTCGAGAAAGGTCCAAACGTACTTAGTTGAAGAAGGAAAGCGTGTTCTGTCGAGACAGGTATAAGAAGATACAAAGAAACATATTATTTCAATTATATTTCGAAAACGGCGAGCGCGCGGTCCTTAGTCTCCAATCAAGGGATTTCCGATGACCAGTAATATGTTGAGTGTGTTTCAGGTACGTGCCACCATAAACTGTCCGCGAGGTACCAAATACCTGGTGCCAAATGCACACGGTATATACGAAGCGTTTTACTTTACCAGCCTTTGAAGCACGCTCTCGCCTAATCCATTACAACTTACAACGTAAAAAAAGACGCTCCTTCATGATTAAAATTGCACAGATAAAACTTTTTTAAAATTAGTCCAAGTGACTTGAGTTCTTTTGTGAAGTTAGGAACATTAGTTTACAAAATGACGTGTAAAAAAATATTTGAAGAAGTTAGCCTTCATTAGGTTAAATTGGTGTTGCAATACAAACGGACAGAAAAGCCTCAGAGGCTTTGCGTTTCAACAGCTGACCACCACATACGTCAAATCCAACCGAAGTACTTTTCCGCCATAAAACTCCGTCGGCCAGTTTTCACTTACAAGGAGGGTGCAAGCCCTTGGTTTCACCATCATGCCTACCCGAACATTAATTATTATGATAAAGGAAGGAAAATTATATATGTATGCCGGGCGTATAAAAATTATGTTTTAAAGAGTTATAAGGCTACTTTTTCTGTTTAAATTTTACTTTATTGTGAAGAAAATGTAACATTAATTATTATTGCTATAAACAATTTCGCGGGAGAGAAAGACGCTTTTTTTAGTACATTTTCACCGATCCAGATGTGTATTCACCCTAATTGATATGATAAATTACATTTTTATACTCTATGCAGTTGTTTTTTGTCACTCGCGTACAAAATGATATGTAAAAGTATTTCATTTATTTATAGCTTAATTCCTTATTTAGTTTTAATTCCAATTAAATACAGAATAGAAGAAACGGTTTTTTTTCTTCATTAATATGATTACATTATATAGTAATGAAAACCTATGTGTATAAATATATATATTCATACTACTTTTATAACACATATTCAGGCAAACGGGACACATATTCTTACTAGCGTTCGCGCGGTAGGCGCTATCGCCGTGTTTTTCGTCTTCACAAATATTTACGCGGTTGCGAATACGCGCCAGGTCGTTAAAATTGAATAAGTACTATATGCTGTTATGAGACGCATTTTGCGCCGTGCCCTTTCCGACCCGAAATTCGACTCGGGTACGGAAGAACCGAGAACCGGACCGCCCCCCCCCCCGCAACTCATCGCTCGCGCGAAATAACATTCGAGCGCTCCTGGAGGATTCGTAGGGAAATGCTACCGGTAGAATTTAAACTAATCACGTGGTAATCTCGCGCCGAGTTCCCGCTCGCGATTACAGGGCCGTGGCGATCGGGGTCGATACAAGACGGAGGACGCGGTATCGCCCGTACCGACCGACTCTGCTCCAGGAACCGCCCCGGAACCCGTCGAGCAGCCGCTCGACCGGATAAGGGTCCTATCCCAGGGGGATAGGACAGGAGGAAAAGGGCCCTCCCTCGCATCGAGCACAGGTTTCGAGAGGCTCTTGGTCGGCCGAGGGGGCAATGTAAAACCACCCACCGGACAAGGATCGGCGACCCGGACGTCTCCCTCCGAAGAAGGACCCCACGATGGAGTAAGCAGGGGGCAGGGGACCTGTGAGGAGTAGCAGCAACCACGTAGGAGGGTGAAGAGTGGGCTCCTCACACAGGGGAAGGAATCTCCGTGGCCAGGGGATCCTTCCTTGGCGTGTCGTCCCTAAGCCGAAGGAGCATGGCTCCGCAGAAGTCAAAGGGGGTACGCGGGCCAATAGAACCGCCTAGTGGGGGGCCCACTAGGTCCTCGCGTAGCGTAACGAGCCCCGAAATTGTCACTTGAGTGGCCCTTATCATAGCGTATAGTCGGTATCCAGCGTACCAAGGACACCCCGGAAAGTAGTAAGACAGTGAGGAGGATTACCGTCTAACTGTAAGTGAGCTCTTTCATCTGACCTCTGTAGGGCAATCTAGATCTCGTCCGTCCCGATTATGTCGCGATAGAAAATCTAGTGTCGCATCTCGCTAACGAGCGCGGGAGAACCACGGGGGTTCATCGGGAATCAGAATATCGAGATTTCCGGGCAGCTTTCCTCCAGGATTCCCAATCAACGCGCCAGTCACTCAAGTCACTGTACCAAAATCTGTAATCGGCCGTAGCGTAATACCGTCCGACCGCGCCTATGTAAATTTCGTATGGAACATCTCGAGCGGTCGTAGACCGCGAAATAGCAAAATATCGTGTATCTTACCGGAATCCGGTGATATCGAAGGCGCGGGCCGCGACGATAGTCGACCGTCGAGCCGTTTCTTCTTTTGTTAAACTATCGAAACACCTGTTGTAACGCGGTCTCGAGAGAGACCACTTTCTTCACAAAATTAATGAAAAATATTCATTCTCTATATATGTATTATTTTGTAAAAATTGTAAACATCATTGAAATCGTATTGTAAATAAATATTTTCAAGAAATATAAACAATATTTAATTGCCAAAACCCGCTAGGTTGTGCTCTGTTTACGGCAGTAAATCTGCTGTTACGTTCTACAACAGAGTTACTCTGTTTCTGCTGCGAATCTGACGTTACGTTCTCCAGCAGAGTTACTGTGTTCATGCTATGAATCTGACGGCATATACAGTCAGAATGCAGCGACAGATGTATAGGATTCTGAGGTTCTGCTTGACCGACTATGACACTAGATGCCGTGCATCTGACGTCAGTTTGCTCATAGGGTATATATGTATTATTGCATAAAATGTAAATATGTATTATTTAGCAGTGCAATATTTATATATACTTATTTCTTATTATAAGCGATAAAATAGGAGAAATATAAACGCCAATAATACACAAAAGTTAATATTTCATAAGCATATATTATTAATATTTGTTAACATATACATTTAGTTTTGTGATTTAATGTTAAATAATCATTTAAGTACTTAAATATAGATTGAAGCTGCATTTAGATAAAGTGTAATCGATTTAATCTGTAATAAAATAAGTTGCGCAGTTCAACTGCACTTGTGAGGTGAAGCTGTCGTCAGAATATTAGCAGCTCTCTCCAATATCTGACGTCGTATCATGACACCAGGCCTGTTATATTACTGCTGCTAGTTTATAGTCAATACTGCTGTAGTAGACCCTCTAGCATATTTGCAGCAAATCTGCACATCAGATCTACAGCAGAATCTAGTAATATATGTTTAGAACAGGACTGGCTGCCTGGGAGTTTGCTTGTGAGCGTATTGAAAGTGGCGTAAGAGAAAGGCTTCCTACCAATTGGTATTTGGAATTACTGAAATGTATGCGAAAGTAACATTCGATTTAATATTTATTTCACTACCTGGAATAAATTTACCAAGTGGTAGGAGACCTTTTCCCTACGTTAGTTTTTCCCCTAGTGGAAGCCGAGTTTGCTCGTGAGTGTACTTAATGCCACCACACAGCCGTAGAAGAATCCCCCACCAACAGCCCCATTAGAAAGAGAAGTCTGTTACTCCATATATTATTCTCTCACTTACTGCCAACCTTATCCCTACCATAAGCCACGCAGTCTATGTTCTCTACCAATCAGAAACGATCACGAATCACTCGTGATTTACAAGTAGCAGTTCACCATGCAGTTCAGGACATCTCTAGTAATGTACGTGTATATTAAATATATATACAGCGAGTCCCAAAATAGCTTCGACTTCCGGAAATGAGGAGATCCTAGGTTGATTTGAAATAACTGTTTCCTAAGCAAAAATGTTCTCAGAGGCTTTGTTAACGAGATATTAACGAAAAACCCTGACCAATCAGAGTGCGAGTCTGCCGGTCGAGTCCCGCGGTAGAGTTGGCTACCAATCGCAGTGCGTAGCCAACGCTACCGCGGGAACTCGGCCGGCAGACTCGCGCTTTGATTGGTCGGGGATTTTCGTTAATATCTCGTTAACAAAGCCTCTGAGAACTTTTTCGCTAAGAAAAAAGTCGTTTCAAATCACTCCAGGAATCACCCCTTTCAAGGACTTACACCTGTTTTGGGACACCCTGTATATACTATGGTTTTTAAAGATGACTATAACTGATAGAAATTACATACTAAATGTAAAAAAGTATAAAATATCATTCAAATAATTTTCATGTCATGTATCTTTTTTATTTAGATTTAAAAATTTTTTTAATTCTTTTAAAAAGACTGACCTGCCTAACGGAATTGACAATTTCCTGCAGTGCATGTCACTGAATAATTTTACTTCATGGCGAATCACCATTCATAACAATATCGAATTCTTGTCTACAAATTTTTAAGAGTACCTGGAGAGCATTTTGTGTGTGTCCGATTAGTAGATAAGTAGCAGACGTTAATAATGAATACTTCTTTGGATTCGACGTTTCGTTAAGTCAATTGCATATTTGAACAAATCAGTGAGATGAGATGTCGACGATTCATGTTACTTTGATTGCTGACAATACGTGTAACGGTCAATAACATCCGATTAATTTTTTATTAATAAATGTTGGACAGGATGGCTAGCAGAGAAACGTCAATTAATTCAAAAAATTCGGATGACCATAGCGTTGAAGTTCGTAAATTACCAATACAATATTCACAGTTTTTAAAGTTATTGGAGTACCACTTAACATTTGGTCTTTGAATACAGATTATAAATTACTGTTTTATTCTAGACACTAGCAGAAGTTTTCCGATGTTTTATTTGCATGGAAAAGCTTAGGGATGCACATCTTTGTCCCCATTGCAGTAAATTATGCTGTTACACTTGCATCAGAAGATGGCTCACAGAGCAGCGTTCTCAGTGTCCTCATTGCAGAGCTTCATTACATCTACATGAATTGGTAAATTGCAGATGGGTAGAAGAAGTAACACAGCAGCTTGACACACTTCAAGCTGTTGGTATATCAAATTCAAGGCACGATGATGCTAATAGAGATAGGTATTGTACCCATAAATGAGACATATGTTGTTAAGTTCTATAATGTACTGTAGATCTAAGAGCATGCAACAATCTTGATATATGTATGAAAGATCTACATAACCAATAAATTTAATGGTATTATATTTTAACCATTAACTGTGAATCACTTTCAAAAGTAGATTAAAGGTGATAATTTTGAAAATGACCAAAAAACACGTTTTAGGTTTAAATTGTATTATAAAACTTGGCATTATCATTGGTAGTTTATTTTTGTACTAGTCACTTGTGTTTGTATCAACACTTTTCTATTTATTTGCAGGTGTACTGTACATCATGAAAAGCTGTCTGTTTACTGTTGGACTTGTCGTAGATGTATTTGTCATCAGTGTGCTCTATGGGGTGGTACTCATTCAGGGCATGCTTTCAAACCTCTAGAGGAGGTTTATGAACAGCATGTTACACAAATAAAAGCAGAAGTGGGACAGTTGAAACGAAGATTGATGGAGCTAATAAGTCTTGTTCAAGAAGTGGTAAGTTTCATATATACTGTACTAATTTTTTGTGATTTATACTTACATAAATGAACTAAAGGACTTTGACATTCTACTACTAGAAATTTAAGGACCATCGAAAATCAGCCATATGTTTTACATAAAAATACAAATTGTACCACTTAAAGTAGCTTCACAAAGGGCATTATACTCTCTGTTATAAATATTATATTATATTTACTTTTTAAATAGGAACGTAATGTTGAATCTGTAAGGGCTGCAAAAGATGAGAGAGTCAGGGAGATCAGGAATGCAGTGGAACTAATGATAGCACGTCTAGATTCTCAATTGAAAGCTAAATTGTTAACTTTAATGGGCCAGAAAAACTCCTTGACTTTAGAAACAGAACAACTGGAGGCTCTGTTGCAAGAGGTGGAACACCAATTGCACACATGTACTCGATCTGAGCTTATTATTAAAAGTGCAGATTTGTCACGAATGATACATCAAGTAAGGAAAAAACCAATGACAAGTTTTGTGACTGCTCCTGTTCCTGCAGATTTTCATAGGTAAACCAATCATTACTTCTACTTTAATTTATTCTTTTTATTACCAAAATAGTGATCATCCATTTATTATTTCAGTGAAATTGTACCAGGATATGATAGTGCAACTTTTGCAATGCAAAATTTTACTCAACTTCAATTAAAAGCAGATCCTGTGTATTCTGCACCATTGCATGTAAATGGATTGTGCTGGAGATTAAAGGTATATCCTGATGGAAATGGAGTTGTTCGCGGAAATTATTTGTCCGTTTTTCTGGAATTAAGTGCCGGTTTACCAGAAACATCTAAGTATGTATAACGAATAGTTATGTTTTTTAAAATTATTTTTAGTGTCATTTCGACTACATTTTTTCTAGGTATGAATATAGAGTTGAAATGATACACCAAGGATCCCGCGACATAAGTAAAAATATAGTTCGAGAATTCGCTTCTGACTTTGAAATCGGTGAATGTTGGGGTTACAATAGATTTTTCAGATTAGATTTACTTGCAACTGAAGGGTACTTAAATACAGAATTGGACACTTTGATACTACGGTAAGGCCGATGTACTTTCTACACATGTGATATTCTATAGGTTGGTTATTTAAGTGGTTACTGATATTATAATAAAAAAATGAATATCAGGTTTCAGGTACGGCCACCGACGTTCTATCAGCGCTGTAGAGATCAGCAGTGGTATATCAGTCAGTTAGTTACAGTACAAAATCAATATGCTACACAAATTAATGAATTGAAAGAGGTAACGTTTTAATTTTAAAATTCCAGTTGGAAGCACAGAAATAACTAAAAAAATTGTTCACAGAGATTGGCAATAGAAATCTCTCGAAATGCTATAGCAGCGACAAGAGTGTCAAGCGGAGTTGCATTATGCGGACCAACATCAAATGTAACACCTCTGGTAATGCAACAACAGTCACAAGCTGCTGGAGATCCATTACTGAATTCCAGTTCTCCTCGTTCCATTGAAACGTATCAAAATGGCACATTAGCAAGGTAAATCAAATTAGTTTTGTTGATTTTGTGGACGAATACTGCCAAATAAGCGAAATTTGAAGCATATTTCCTCAAATGATCGTCTACAAAAGAGGTATTTAATTTTAAAAGAGGGTAGTATACTTTATAGGCATTTATTGTAATAGAACAGGACAGAATGCACTACTTGGGGGAAATTATAGTTCTGCCATGTCGAGTGATCAATTGATGCCTATGTGTGAGTTAGGAGAACTTTCGAACATACGTTCACTTGGATCCTCTTCAACATTGTCCTCTATCTCGTCAAAGACGAGTCTAAAACAACATGGAGTGAAACCAGAATCGCCCAATCTGCATGGTACAAACGATGGTTCTGCTGGAGACTGCCAGACCAATAGTATTCATTCTCCATCGCCATCTTATTCTTCACCGACAATTCTTAATCAGCAACCACTGAATCTGTTGTCTAGCAGCAGCAGTAGTGATAGCGGAGTGAGTCATTTTAAATTATATGCTGAGAAGCTAAAATAATTACATTCTTTTAAACATTATTTACATTAATTATCTATACTTGTTTCAGGAATTAAGCGAACACGATATATATTTGGACGAATGTGAACATAATGAACCACATTTAATGCTTTTAGATGATAATTCAAATGACGAAAACGACGTGGATGATGAAACCATGTCAGGTATGAGTTCAGTTCTTTTTCTTAAATATGTGAGTTTTATTGTAGGTTTTGTTCCGTTTGATAACTGGTTTACCGCATATGAATTTTTATACAAAAGGAAAAATGTAATTAAATTAGGTACGAGTTCCAACAGGGGTTCTCTGGATGTACAAAGGTATAAGCAGCGGGACTACAAGTTAAATAAAGGTGTTGAAAATGAAAAACCCACGAATGAGAAACCAGACGAAGATTATATGAAAGAGAATCCTACTTCCCATACTCCAGATCACTTTCAAGCAATCTCATAAGAGATCTTCTGTCATTTTTCGAATTAATCTCCGTCTACCTCTTACGTTTGGTTTTATAACAGAGAATAAATATTCCCGTACATGTGCTATAGTAACTGAAATTACTGAAAAATGTTAATCAAGAAATTTCTATTAGTCATTTAATTAATTTTCAATTGATTGTTTGAACATAATGTACAGTCCACGGTACAGTGAAAGCTGTAGCTACATAGTAACGTTCTTTATTGTAATAACCTTTAATAATAGTACTTGTAATGTTCACAGGAGAGAATGATGTAGAAGTTGCAGAATCGTTAACCCCGTGGATTCAGAACAAACAACGTACAAAGCAGCAGAACAATCGGGATAGTACAGGGGATACTTGCAGGTAGTTTAAGATGCACAAATTAAAGTCATTGAAAAAATTTGTTATTTTATTTCGTTATTTTATAGATTGCGAGGCAATGATAGTTTAGAAGACGAAATAATGTTGCTACATCTGTTTGAAATGCAAGATAGAAACTCCGCCTGGACTTCTTTGTGTTTCAATCAACACGTGGATGACACAAGTGACTCTAGAACATCTTTAACCAGTTTACATCATAGTTCTAGCCCTTTACATTGTAACACTACACTGCCAACTCATGGATCGTCTTCATTTTCGCATAAGCATCATGAAGTCGATTCAGCCTATAACGAACAATTTTCCGATAAACGTTCCACTTGTACATCTCATCTGTGTCAGCCTCAGATGATGTATAACGGTAGACTGAAACTGGGTCAAGTGTCCAACATTTGTCAGCAAGAACTTTCCGGGTTAATAGCATGTGGTAGTCAGACGAGGTCTGAACCTGCAACTCGTTCGAACTCTATTGATTGCGATAAGGACCTTCCAAACATATCTGTAGTTAATAAAATTAACCACGAGGTGGAAACATCCAGATCGGACTTGATAGTGCCAAATGGTAAATGACATTCAGAAGAGTACCTTCTTATTTATCATTTATTGTACTGGGTGTTTTATAACATATAAGGCTTACTTGGGCGGTAGATAGGTAGTTCAAAAACACAATGAACAAGTTTCATATAATCATGTAATTAAGTTAACCTTGTATCTGAATGGTTTTGTAACTTTTAATGGTAGAGTTTGCTAATGTACAAAATTCGACTATATAGACAGCTTGTACACAATGTTTAAGTACATCTGTTTTTAAAGAAATTTTTGAAAGATTTAGAAATTCTAAAAACATTGCAAATAGGTTACGTACCTATGTAAACTTTCCTCACTTTTTTTGCGTTCTCTGTTCATTGCTAAAGTGGGTTCCACATGTTATAAAACAGCCTCTGTAAATCTGTACAATAACATGAAATTTATAAATATTCAGTAGTACTGGACAGCAATAAAATCGTGTCGAAGCATCTACTGTCGCGACGGCAATCTTCACCGTCATCGTCTGCCAACGTTAGCGTGATAGGTAGTGAGAATAGTAAAGTATTCGAATTCGAACAATTGTTGGAGACCATTCAGTTGTATCCAATATCTCAGAAAGACACTGCCAGTTGTTTCAATAAGTTAAGGTACAAGTTTCTCCTAAATTATATATTGGAGGAAAAGGAAAAGTTTCGAGTCTAACGGTGTAAATTTGTTGTATCAATTGCTTACAGAAGAAATATTTCATCCGAGGGGAAAAGTAATGGTTGCACCACTGGCAGAATCAAATCTCCCTCGCTTTCGTTAGGTCATGATGCAGTATCGTCGTCAACTAGTAATGCAACAACTGATGCTATACCGAGCCCTAACAATTATAGCTGGGCTCCTGCATTGTATCAACACAAACACAGTATGTACAGAGACATTAGAAATAGAAAATTTATTACGTTACAAAACCACTTAAACGATATTTTTCGAAAAATTTCAGATCAGAAGAATGTTTTGGACGCAACTCTGCAAGCATCTTCTAGCGATGCTTCCAATAAATCTACATCTGAAAAGTAAGCAGATCTTAACCGTATATTACGTACAGTTCAGTACTACAAATTCATAGTAATTCGAAGTAATTCGATGATTGTTATAATATGTGTATAATATTAAAATTTTATGGTTACAGGTCGTTAGAAGAAACCAATCCTTCGGGTTCTTCGTGAAGTTATGTCTGTAATACTTAATCTTACAAATGTACTGTGATTTTTGTTCACCTAAACTTTTAATTATTGTTACTAGAAGTGATAAAAAAAGTGAGAGCATTGAGATTAGAAAACTGATATTTAAATATAATAACATGGTAAGTGTAATAACTAATGTTTCATAGTCAGTACAGGGTACTATGCAACTATATAATGCAGAATACATTCTGTTTGTGTTATTTGATAAATAATATGGATTACTGTTCTTTTCAGCTTGAGAAGCATAAACAAGAAGAATATGACTTAAATATCATTCCATATTAGATAGTGTGATTTACATTATTTATCATTATTTATTATTCGTGCATACATAGTTACATTTTCAGACAAATTCAAGGTCTTTAGTTAGACTGCAATATTAATACATTGTATAATATCTAAATACTCAATATGTTTACTTTGTTTTTTTTCGGATGGTTATGGTATTGCAGGTATTATCAAAACAAATTTTGTACTATTTATATGTGATTGCTTGTGAATATGTATAAGTCGAGCACAGCCCACGACAATGAAATAAAATAAAAAGCACAATTGAGTACACACTTTTTTTTATGTATTAAAATCTTCAATTTTAAACCACTTCAAGTCAAATTGCATAAATGATTAAAATACTTAAATCATTATATCTGTATGTATTACATTATGAACTCCTCACCTTTTATCACTTACTAATTATACTTATATACATTTATATCACATATAATGTTTAAAATACACCTTAGAAGTTGGGTGTTTACTGTCTCTGAATATTTATATATATAATAGTATCATAAGTTTTTTACACAATGAGCGTTATTTCTAAGTAGTAGTGGTATGAGTTTCCATTTTTAAGGACTTATAAGTTAAAACCCATAAATTTTCGACAATACATATATACAAAGAGTGACAACCCAAGATGGGCTATACAAATAGTACTATCATACAAATTTGATCTTCATTTATTGAATCATCATACGACTAATTTTTAATCTAGTAATGAAGAATGAAAATACAATTTTTGAGATCTTAGTTCCTTCTTTTTTTTAAATGTATTAAAACTCCTCAAAGACGAGTAGCGTAGATTCGATGAATTATGAAGAAACACATAAATATTTATTAATTCTTTTTGGTCTTTTTTTTTTATAAAAAAATATTACTATATTATTCAGTATGATTCATGCGATATGAAAAGGAATACTTGTTACATTAATATTATTTTGTATTTCAGCTAGAAAAGGAAACTATTAAGTGGTATTGTATGTTGTGCTACTTTGCGTGTATATAGCTAATAATTCATTACGAGCTTCCTCATCTTCTGGGTATTCTCTTGCTTTTTCCTCATTCGGTAAATAATGAGTACCGTTAAATTTGTAGAAGTATCTACCGATAGCCTGATGATTTATCCATTCTGGATATGGGGCCAGTATCAAATTTTCTAAGAAAAACAAATTCAGAGGCTATATTTAGTTGTTTTATAAACTGAGTAAAGTCAGTAATACCTTGAGCTGCATAATGGCACGATCCATCATCTACAAATATGTTATAAAACGGTTGTTCTGCGCCTTTGTCTAATTCATGTACACCCATTTCATTCATCCATTCTGTCGACGCCTTGCAGGTTGCATCCCATCCTGTTATTACACATAAAAAACCGTAGATTTTATGTTGCATGATTAGTCCTACTGCATACTGTACAGCGGGCACTCTACTCTTTGGCTCTATTTCCCCCTGGAAATGTATAAAAACATTGTTGTTTAATAGTGTTTATTAATAATGATAAAAAAATCACCACATTGCGATACATACTTCGGGCGAAACCTCTTTTTGACAATCCTGAAGCGCTTGGGAAATAATACTTGCCTGCCTGCACACTGATAATTTTGGATCCTTAAACATTGTAATGTAAGTTTTATTTCAGTACAAAAATACTTTACTTAAATGTAATATCTTGCATAATACAATTAATTAGTTTTTAAAAAGTCTGGTGCTCAGAATCGTACATGTATTGATTTATTTCGTAGGTATAAGCCCATTATAGGAAAACCCGCATTGATTAATATTATGTTATGCAATGTGTAATATGTAATGTCAGTGTCATGAAATACCTGCTCCATATTTTTCAGTATCTCTACCAGTTCTGTTAAATCCATATTCTGTACTATATATATGCGACCCAATTGCACAATTGGATCCGCATCATTAGGTTGTACCATATGCCGAAGTTCAAGAGTAGAACACAGTCTTGAGGTTCTGCCATTCAGATGGGTATGTTGTCTGACAGCTACTTCTAAGTTATTTGCCATTCTCCTTACGACCTGTTAAAAATTATAAGACTGTTAAATATTAAAAGACTAACATAATGACAATCAGTATAAAATCGATACATACTTCCACGGCAGTTGCTGCCTTCTGAACATTATACTTTTCTATCGGACACTTTGACACACCACCGATTCTAGGGCAATTTTTTTTAGTCAAAAATTGACCGCTATTGAAGACGTCAATATAAAAATTTTCTGCAGTCTCCGAATCAAGTCCGCTAAAATACGATATATGAACGTATTATATGACGCAAACCTAAGTTAATAGTTCCTATTAGCCTGCGAATGTTTATGTATATTTCCATATTCAGTAATTATTTTTAAAAAATTAATATAGAAGAAAAATTTATTTTACCAATTAAAACATTTATTGCGTTCGAAAAAAATTAAAATTTATGTTCACCTATGTAAAAGTTACAATTTCACACATTTGCACATGCTGTAAATGCATAAAATTTGCAGCCTATGATAATTACATTAATAGTACGATACAGCATACGTAATTGTTTAAAACATTAGACCCTATTTTATAAAAAATTCCTCACTAAATTAAATAAATTTTTGTTTAATTTCAGTGTTTATAAATTAGTGTGTAAATATCTATGTTTGTACAAACAATCACTGTCTAGTGAATACAAATATTTTGAATTGAAAATAAGTGGAGATACCGAAATATATGTATCAATGCAAAACGTACTATGTTTCCTTCCATCGTAATAGAAAGTGAGATGGAAAACTGACTGGTTCACAGCGTATACCAAGCCTACGAGCAACACTTTCAAACACTACTGCCAGAGTTATAGGAATTCCTCGTCTGCGTTCCAGAACCTGAACCAATAAATAATCCATTTATATAGAACTAACGTTTACTTGAAAAGTATAATAAACTTCATGGTCTGAATTTCTAACTTACACGATCTATAAACGAATTTTCTGATGAATAATACATTTCATTATTTCCATAAAATCCTAACTTTTGGAACAATACTTTGCACAATGCATCTGTCACTTGTTTTGTTTCCCGTATGCTCCAGTGATTGTCATCGATAATATTATTTTTCCAAAATATAAACTGCTCTGCGGATGTTGAAAATATGGAGTGAGCTGGGTATTCTTCTCTGAGTAGTGCTTTAGTTTGTTCAGCGATGTTATCTAACAATAGTGATATATACGAATATGTCACATGTCTTTCTGGTTGACCCCATTGTGCTACAATGGTTGCACCACGTTCTAAAGTCTGTTCTTTTGATGGTAGAGATATAAACTTCTGCCACTCTTCCTTCAAATGGCTTTGCTTTATGTATCGAATGACTTTGATGACATAATATCTATGTGTCAAATTGCTGGTTCTAAAAAGGAATAATGTAAATAAAGTTATGAATTATTATTTCATTAATAATAGATTCCCTAGGTATTTCCTAATAGTAGATCTCCTTAGATACAGTATCTAAGGTCCACTTAGATAAAATATGTACACACCCTTGACAAACATGCAACTATTTTTATAACTAAAGTATCAATATATTTATACTTACATAGCAGGGATTTTGATCAAACTAATAAGTTCATCCACCAGAAAATAATATGCAAAGGGATGAGCACCATGCTCTAAACGAAAAAGGGGATCAAACTCTTTAAATACAGTGTTTGGTAATTCTTGTTTCTTGTAGTGTTTATTAGACATTAAGGACAGTTGATAAAGCAATCTCATTCGGATGTTTAAACTGATCTTAGCTTCTTCTTTCCAGTTTACTGGAAGGCCTTCTGGGTTTTTCTTCATTTGATATACTTCTTTCAACATTGGCCATCTAAGATATCAAAAATAAAGAAATTCGACGTTTGTTTCATACATGTTTACAAGAATCATTTAAAGGGCTAACAAAAATAAGAGTGTGTGTAGTAACGAATTTTTGTATATACGACCGAAGCTTTCACGTATCGAGTGTATAAAAAGAAGTCAATACAGGCACTAAAATAACAATCTGCGTTTCTCACAATCAGCACTAACTTGACGTCACGAAAAATTTCCCATTTAATCAGAGAGTTAGTCAGAATCTGGCGATACGCTATTAGCACTAAATCGTATCAAAATCAACGATGCATATAATAATTCGATTTTTTATTTCGCAACGGGATCACGGAACTTCCGTCAGTTATTAATCGTACCTTTGAAAAAATTTTGTTCTCCAGAGTTTATTGTTGTTGTTAACAATTCTATGCAAGTTCCTGCATGTAGATCCGAGATTAATCACATCGAAAAAGCCGAGTCGTTTGTCTTCCAAAATACACACGACTATTTCACTAGGCAACGAGTTCATTGCGTCATTTGCCATTCTTTGTGTTTTACTACAGCCAATATAATCTGACTGCAAACGATGAGTAGAAAAAACTGATTAAATAGTTGCAATGTGTAGCCGCGACGAGAAACAAACACATCCCCGACATGCATCTGCCATTGCACTGAGGCACACTAATGTCAGCAGTTGCTGTGTGAGAGATCAGAAATTGACGCTTTCAAGATACTTCTGATACGGCAATGCGGGGAAAAACATACCCATACTACGGTTTCTAAATAAGACTGAGTAGGGATCACAGCAATTAGTCCTGTCAGTGTTTGCTTATAGAAAACAGCACATAATAGGCATTGGGTGCGTGCATGTGTGTGTTTATAATAAGGCAGATCTCATGGTAATGCAGTGATAACCTACAAATATAATAAGATCAATAAGACTATATATGTCGGAGACGGACACAGACGAAATATAAGAGTACATAGACATTTCATCTAATGTATTTTTTCAGCCCAGTTTTCTGGGGCGATGTCGCCCCCTTCACGGGGCCAAATAGCCCCAAAACCGCATAATAGTGGGCGCCAAATGTTAACGTATCTTAACGATTTATATCACCGACTAGGTATAGAATAGACCTATCATCCAATGCTTTCCTCTGTCTCGCGTTCATAGGGCTACGTAACCCTGTTACCATTTTAGTGTCAATCCCGACGTTACCGATAAAGCATGAATTCTGAGTATTATTAGCACAAATGAAGTGTTATATATTCCATTCATATTACGTGTATCTATATGATTTCACGAGAATAAAAATATCCGATGCTTCAGTTTAAGGTTAAGGGATAAAT